GCCTAAATTACAATCAAAATCTCAATCAAGCCCAATCCCAATTGATAACTAATAACCAACCCACTTAATTAATAAATCAATTAATTAATAATCCAATTAACCCAACCCAACAATAAAATAAAACCCGATACAACGATCACTCAAACCCGTAAACAACTCTGTGTTCTTATTAAAACTCACAACCCGTAAACAAATCTGTTTACACTCCAAACCAAGACAGGGGTCGACCGGCGGCGAGGAGGTGGGCGACTGGACGTCGCTGACTGCGGTAAGCTCCGGTGACTGCGGTGTTACTGTGGGCGGCGCGGTGAGTGTGCAACGATTGTAAGGTTATTACTGTAGTGCGGTTTTGGGTGCTGGACTGTGGTGGTAACTGATGGTGCAATTGGCGAACTGACACGGCCCGTTTGGAGTCATGGTCGGCGGCGGCTTGGTCTTTGTTTCAATCATTTGACTGTAATTCCGGTAAGTTGGTTGTATGTAGGTGTCGGAGGGAGGGACTGGGTTCTGCAGCAAACTGGGTATTGTTTTGGTGGCGGTATTTGAGTGAAGACAAACTAGCACGATGTTAGTATGTTGACAGGAGGGAAGCCATGACCATGACTGAAACGGTTGAAGTTGGGATGAAGAAGCGGCTGAAGTTTTGTTTTGTCTGCAGCAACGGATTCTGTATTGGTGCTGCGTGAATTGCTGTCCAAGGTTTGCTCTGATACCAATTTGATGTAGTATAAATAACAAAGAAAGAAGAAGGGGAAGTGAGGAGAAGAGAAGAGAGGAACCGGGGAAGAACACAGAGAGGAGAATGGGGCTGTAGCCAAACTTTTATTCAATCAAATTCATCATCTCCAAATTACAAACCAAGATAGGTTTAAATAATAAAAACCTAGAAATATAGGGCCAAGTCCATTACTTAAGTCCTAACTAAAATACGTAAACTTAAATAAAAGTCCAACTGAAACAATAATAAAAGTCCAACTAAAATACTGAAACAATAATAAAAGTCCAACTATAATGATGTCCTCATCACTTATATCTGTAATTGCTTGACAGCAACAATGTATGTGACAAGCAAATATTTTCAAACCATTTATAAACACTTTCCAAACACGCTGCTATTATAGAATGATTTTCGCAATGAAATGGAAAGGAATCAAATGAGAAATCATAGGAGGTGAAATATACACAAATGCTCTTTACGTTAGGATACCTCTAGCCACCAAAACCAATTGATATATCCAACTTCTTCAAACAAAAGTATTTTTTTCATTTACTAGCAAAATGTTATTTGGGATAAGAAACATTGTATATGAATCCGATACAAAACCAAAACCTCCTCTTTTATCCCATGCCCGAAAAAGATCATTCCACAATCTCTTGAAGAGGACATTTAAAAACCTATACAAAATCTTGGAAATGTATAAATTTGCTGCTAAACCATTACTTTACAACATGCACAAAGTGATAATCAATGTATTGACCAAGTCAGAATTGGCGACATATGTTAAGGCTATGTTTAGGAACTCATTTTTTTTTATGAAAATCTCAAAAGGAGTTAACAGCGTATGACTGGGAAAGCCATGAGTGCTCGAGGGCTTGCCTAGCAGTCGGGCGCCTCTTTGGATTAGTCTCTAGCAAGTATCTTACAAACTCAACGAACCCAGAATCAGAAACCTGCAGTTGATGTTCCAATGATGTTTCCTCGGGGATTATGTACTCTAGTTGATCTGTTTCCTGTTGCAGAATTGCATATATAAATGAAAAATGTCAACTAGAAAAATGTAGTTACAAGAAAACTACCATTAGAATGTACAAAAACTTCATTTACAAGGTGAAGGCCGACTATTACTTGATGATAAATTTCAATGATATAATAACAGAAGTAGATACATTCGTTTCAGATTAAGGAAACCATTGACTGGCTAGAAAAGGGGTTGGCAGAATATGTTTAAGGAACTGAAGTTATAAAATGTTGAAAACTATATCATTAACAGAAAACAAATATATAGATAACTTATAACTTTCAGGAAAAACCTCGGAAATTTTTGAAATTGGTAGTTCAAAAAACTACAGGAAAAAATAACTTTCTAAATGACAACCTGAAGGAGAACAAAAATGGAAATAAGTTAAAAGAACAAACCTCATTAATATGATAAAGATCGTATTCTTTTGTAAAATACTTGTGCGTCTCCTGCCCTCTTTGCAAAATGTCCATGTCAATGGGACCAAGTGTTCCTATCATACGAGCAAGCAGCATTGGAATTGCTTCATTTGGAAAAAGAACCTGGCAGATTACAGATGATTTGAGGACACGAGTAATATTCACTAAGTACTGTGCATGAGATGTGCACGCAGGCTAGAAAGTATATTGAAGTAATTCTAGAATATACCTCCCCTGAGCATAGCTCGGCTAAAATGCAGCCAAGTGACCAGAGATCAATTTTCTGGTCATATGAGAGGCCTAAAATAACTTCAGGAGCCCTATAGGAACGAGATTGTACATAAAGGGAGAGGTTATCTTTCTGAAAGCAACTGCTTCCAAGGTCAATAACCTTTATCTCACATCTTCGATAACTTCTGATAAGAATATTTTCCGGTTTTAGATCACAGTGTATGATTCCCAAATCATGCAGATAAGCTAAAGCCTCCAAACACTGCTGAGTTATGACCTGTAAAGGAACAGACAACCTTAACATTTCACTTGGTACCAGCAAATTCATATCCAAACTGTTTCTTGCAAACAAAAGTATACTAATATCCTAAACAAAAACGTTTATGGAAAGAAATCAGATCCAAGAGAGGTTCCGTCAGAGAAGACCTGCAGCCTTTGCAATGTAAAATATGGCTCCCCACCAGATTCTCGATTAAATTTCTGGAATTCGTACAAGTTTGCTCGCAGAAGTTCAGTAACAATGAACAAATGTTCCTGTAAGAGAATTAAAAACAGAAAGTATATCACAATTGGTAACTAATTCATTGCACTACAATATGTCACTAATTAATGTGCTTTGACAACTTTGTAGTCATGAAGAAGTTTAGAGAGAAAATACTCCTCTTTTATAAGCAGATAATTCATCGCATGTGAATTAACGATGTGCATCCCAAATACACATTGTTAACTATCCTGCTATAAGCTTCTTAATGTAATTCAAAGAAGAAAAATAAGTATCCATAAATTCTGTCTTCAACTCTAGAGCTGAATTGTAAATGCCTTCACAACTCTCAACTGTTTATTCTCTCAAGCACTCAAATTGTTCGATGAGATCTTAAAAGTCAACAAGATGCCACATGGCTCAAGGAAGAAAATTATAGTTCCTATTTAGAAAAAGAAAGATGAAATTCAAGATAGTTCAAATTACAAAGGTCTAAGCTTATGAACCACGCTTTGAAATTATGGACGATTGTGATAGTGTCTAGATTAAGATGTAATTCAAGAGTAGACCAGAACTAAAATTGGTGGTTGTGGTTGCTAAAAATCTACTTGATTTTGGCTCCCCCAATTATTGGGAAGAAGTTTTAGTTAATAAAGTTAACACTCAAAATATCATAGCTTTGTCTTATGAATTGGTCATCTGGAGTGTCAGAATACTGTATCAACTTGTAAAAGTCTCTTTGCCACAAAATCTAAAAATTAGATTCTGGATCAAAATCAATGAGCAGAGGCTGCGGAGAATGATTGTTCGTGGCTTAAACCCTGAGTATAACGGGATAATTACGGCGATTCGTAGCTAGTCGACACAATTATCTTTATATGAGCTCGGGAGTATCTTAGCTAGCCAACAAACTCTCAAGAGAGCAGGTATGTCATTAAAGAATGAGGAAGAGACACTCTTCAGTAATAGAAGAAGAGGAAGGCCAAGTCAAAATGTAGTTGCAACTATTGACTTTGGTTTGTCATTTTTGCTGTCACATTTTGTAATGTCTTTGTGTGTATTAAAATCAGCCTATGTTATGTCTATTTTTTTGTGATTATAAAGTCTATCAATGTATGGTTATTCTGCCACTAGGTAAGGCTGTAGTTGGTAGGAGTTGTAGGCTAATGGTATGGCTGAAAATCTCTTGTATTACACTTTAAATAGCTGCTGGTAATGGTGCTTTTATTCGATGAATTTTATACAGCAAGAAATCTGTTTTTCTCTTCCTCTTTGTTCTATAAAATCCTACAGTGGTATTAGAGCATTAACTGATCTTTGAAGGGGGCTGCAAGAGGTCGAGCTACAAAAACTTGAGAGAAAACAAGTAAGCAATCATTCATAAAAACAACCAAGTGACTTGTGAGGAAGTGAGATGGCTTCAACCGGTTTTTCAACACCTTTGCCTTCAGCATTCACAGGAGAAAATTATGACTTCTGGGCTGCTAAAATGAAGGCATATCTGAAGGCCTATGATCTATGGGAAATCACAGAAACTGGTATGGAACCACCTCCACTCAAGGCAAATCCCACCATAGCTCAATTAAAGCAACATAGTGAGGAGGTTGCGAAAAAATTCAAGGTTTTGTCCTGCATCCAGTCAGCTGTTTCTGATGCAATATTTACCAAGATAATCACTTGTGAGTCTGCCAAGGAGGCCTGGGACAGATTGCAAGAGGAATTTAGAGGTAATGCAAGGACTAGACAAATGCAAGTTCTAAACTTGAGAAGGGAGTATGAGGGATTGAAAATGAAAGAGGCAGAATCTGTCAATGATTTTTCAGATCGACTAATGAAGGTTGTGAACAAAATAAGGTTACTAGGAGATGATCTACCTGATAGAAGGGTTGTGGAGAAAGTTCTAATCAGTTTGCCAGAAAAATTTGAGGCAAAAATTTCATCACTTGAAGACTCAAGGGATCTTTCTACCATAACCTT